AGAAATCTCTGTGAAGTGGGACTAATTCAGTATTTTATCAAAGAATTTAATCCCTCTGAAGGAATGTCCTTGTCTCTTCCAATTTAACAATAATTAGAAAGGCATCTATTAGGAGTATGCTATTCAAAATGTGAATATTTGACCCTAAAAACGACAAGAGATGCAGTCAAAAATTTATGTACAGGATGTTTGGCTTATCATTATTTATAGTAGTAACATTTAAAATAAACCAAATGTTCCACAATATAGGTTAAGTTAATTAAGGTTCAGCCATATGATGGAATTCTATGTAGCCATTAAAATGTTTTATAGCAATATTAACTGACATATGAAAATGTTCATGACCTTAATGGGAAAAAAATGGTTACCAAACAGAATATTTGGCATGAGCTTCTTTTAGAAAAAGAAGTATATAAACATTATATAAATATATATATGATTAATATAAAAGACTGTCAGAACCACATCAACAGTTGGTCATGCTGGGTTTATTTTTCATTGCATTAAGGGAGAACACATCATAGAGAACTAAGGGGCACTTCAATAAGAAAGGGTTGGAAAGAATATAGGTTTGTATTAAATGATTTGGGGAAAGGTTTAAGTTGGTGGGTCTTGCTTGGATTGGATGCCATCAGCAAGGAGAGATGATTTTATGATTTGGGTGTGTTAGTAAATCTTTATCTAGAAGGAGAGAACACCATAACAAGACTAAAGCTATAATTTTTTTTAAAAAAAGACCAAAATAGTCATGGACATTAGCCAGGCTAAGTACCTGCTATGTTATTTGGACAAGATTCATGTTTTGTCTGGGTTCAGATATGATTATGAAGTGGTCCTCATTTTGCCTTAATCCATCATAGTTACAAAATGCCCTTATCTGACATTAATGTTTTGGGAAATGGTTTATGTTTAACAAGAGAATGCCAAAGCTTAGTTTGTGAGTGCTAGCCCAAGGCCCAGCTGATAATACAAGGTCATGTCCTGGATGTCAGGGACTGATTTTCTTTTCACACAAACATATAAAAAGAAGACTATAATTATAATTAATATCATTTATTATATGTTGGGATATTCTAGGTTCTCTATTCTAAGTGCTTTACATCTTCTATTCTATTTAAATCATCACAAAAACTCTGTGGGGTAGCTGCTATTGTTATTCCCATTTTCCAGAAAGGAAAACAGTGTCATAAAGAGGTGAATCTACTCACCTGATGCCTCACAGATAGTAAGTAGTAGAGCAAGGAATCAACTCAATGGCTATAGGAACAATAACTATATTATATTGCTTATATGCACAAGTAATTATCATCAGAGGTTACCCTTGAAAGGTGGTGGGTACACCAGGATACAGCTGTTTTTGTTTCCTTCTTGTTATTTTCTAAATTATCTTACATTAATATTAATTAATTTTTAATCATAAAAAGTAATAATTTATTAATGGACTGATGAAAACTCTTTTGCCAATGTCATTGTCCCAGATTCAAACCCAAGTCTTTGGTGGTGGCAATACTACCTCCCCTGAAAGTATGAATAAAAGGAGAAGAAAAATAGTGAGTAGACAATTTCTTCCTCCCTGTCTCATTCTCATTCTTTTCCTCTCTCCCCCCTCTCCTCTATACAATTTAGACAACACAAAGGGCATTGCCGGCAATAAAAGATAAAAAAGGTGGCAGAAGATCTATCCTCAAGAGATTCCCTCTGAATCAAAACAAGCAGGGTGGAAGTCCCCCCCCCCAAATATACATAAGGACAGTTAGGAATGGAGTTGGAAGGACTAGAAGACAAAGTCTTGGTCTCAAAGGAAAGGCCCTTTATGTGTGGGAGGACAACACTCCCACCCCTGCCAGCTGAGCAATGCTGAGTGTCTCCTGCACTAAAATGCAGCCCAGGCACTGAGAGAAGGCACTCCTGCTCTTCAGCCTGCGTAAGGGCTGGCATTAAAAGGCCGGAAATTCTAGGGATGAGGTTGAACCAAGGCTGGAAGGGAATCATTTGGAAGGACAAAGACTTCAGAATAAAAAAAAGCTTCGCCAAAATGTTTAAGCATCCCAAGTAGACCTGTGAGTTGCTTTTCTTTCTCTTACTTTTGTTCCTGCGCTGGGATCAGTGCACATGAAACAGCCTGCTCATTCTATGCGCAGAGAACGATTTTAGGCCTCTTGATAGGTGCCCACCCACTAGCTGCTGCTGGCTCAGTCGCAAAGAGCTGGGCTCACATTATTTCTCACTGCTACCCCCACTCCCAGCCCTTACATCTTTTCGTCTGCCCAGGCTGGGAGCCACGCAGAGCATTCACCCTGCCATTTAGCACCTCGGCTACTCAACGCTGGGTAGTTTCTCAAAGCGCGTGTCCTAACAGTCACTCGCGCTCGCCTCACCGCTTGCAGGGGCACAAGTCAATGAGGCTTTTCCCTTCGCGATCATCGTGAATCAGCAAAGCGCTGCAGAGCAGCGGCGTCTCAGCAAGCAGAAATTAAGATGCTGGGGGAAGGGTACCAATGGAGTGTGGCAAGGGAATTTCTAGCCCCTTTCAATGTGTCCCTTCTGAGGATGGGAATAACGGTGCCGCGCAGGGGGGTGTTGGCTGGAATCTGCTGGACTTTGGCCTCCTGGGGACCCTTCAAAATCAGAGAGCCCAGTGCGGAAGAGCGAGGAAAAGCAGAGAAAGTGAATGAGATTCTGGTAGAAGGACCAAGGTAGCGCAGGCCGGGTAGGGCGAGAGTGCCCCCAGAGTGGGCAGCGCAGCAGTTGCAGGTGCTGCTGAGGAAATGTAGGGAACTGGGTTTGGTATGGAGGAAGGGATAAGAAGATCAAAAAAGGAGGATTTCCCAGCCTGCGACTTCCTGTTTCCAATGTGCAAGTTCCCAAGTTCAGTTTGAGAAGTGCAGGGCCACTTGGCGTTGGGGAGTCTGGGATACAAGCCTTACAGACATGCCTCTCTGAGTCGCGTTCTCCCACGGTGTCTGTCAGTCTCAGTCAGAGTCTCTCTCTCTCTCTCTCTCTCTCTCTCTCTCTCTCTCTCTCTCTCTCTCTCTCTCCCTTTCTCTCTCTCTCTCCCTCCTTCCCCGCCTCCCTCCTTTCCTCACTCTCCTTCCTTCCTTTTCCTCCTTCCGTCCCTATTCCGACTTCCTACAGCTTTAATTAATATGCATGTCCATGCTCAGTAGTGCGGGCCACACTCCAGGCGCCGCGCCTCCTGCCGCGGCCACCTCCCACTGGACCCTTGGCTTTGGGAGGCCAAGCAGAAGCAACCAGAGGCGTGGGATGAGAAGGCTGAGCGCTTGGAGCGCCGAGCCTGAGGACACCTCCTTGAGCCCTGGTCCCCACCCCACCCCCAGTCGGATAGGGCGCCTCAGTGACCCAGTCTCCGGGATCTGGCTCTGTTTGCTTTGCAGCGAACCGACCCAGGGGCTGGGAGCGCGCAAAGAAACGCGCTAAATTGTACCTGTGCGTGGCCGTTCCCGCCGCCGCCGCAGGTCTATCTCGGGCCGAAGCCGGCGCCCGCCTTCTTGGGGAATTCTCCCGAGGGGGAGTGCGAGGGGAACCACAGTGGCTGCCTGCTAGCTCACTGCTGGCGCGCACACGCACACGCCCAACTTTGCCAAGCCGTCCGCGCCCCCCCGGGCTCCCCCGCGCCCCCTGCGGCTCGACACTTTAGGAGACCTGTATCTCTCCAGGTCTGACATGAGGCTTCCCCCCCACACACATGCACACCCTCCGGTGTGGAGGAGTAGAGGGCGGGGTGAGGCTGAAAAGGGGCTCATCGCTACATACTCCCTGACCAGACCAGCATTTCTCAAACACTCTATACCCGCAGGGGCACCCGCGCCAGCCCCGCCGCACCAGGTCCCCCAGACCTGTCAGTGACGACAGAGAGAGGAGGAGGGAGAAGGCAGAGCAGAGAGCCCAGAGCCCGGGAGCCCTGGCGACAGACGGTTCAACCGACTGTCATTCAGCACTTTTATTATCGGGGAACTGGGTGGGAAGGTGTGTGTGTGGTGGTGGGGGGGGGGACGTTTGCAAGCAGAACTGCCCACTCTGGAGAGACCCTAAATTAGGGCGCTGGAGAAAGATTCTTCACGGACACATGTGGGGTGATTATGCTTCAGATGCACACCCGGACCCTGTGGTCCCGCCGAAGCTGCAGTGTTGAGGTTTCTTACACGGCTCTTACTTGGGAGGAGGCGTGATTTCCACGCTTGAGCGTCTTCGCTCCCCACCCCCCCTCGGCACCAGCCAGTGCGCGCCACCACCTGAGCCAGGGAGAGCCAGGGCGCACGCAGTCTTCAGCTTGCTCCCTTCTGCCTCTAGGGAGACTTGGCTCTAAGCGGGTCTGCCCGACGCACCGCCACCCCGTCCCCCGCAAAGGGAGAACTCTTTTACTTTTTGTTTGGAAAATACGGGCCATTTCTTTATTTATCTCTGGGTCTCCCAGGAGGAGGACGAGGGAAGGGAGGGCAAGCGTGGCGGGCCGGGCCGGGGGAGGGGATCTTGAGGAGGGGAGGGGACTGGGTGTAGCCTGGAATTCTCTGTCCTCGTGTTCCTAGGCTAGCGCTCAGAGTCTCCTGGCGATAGCGCTGCCGCCGCTCCCCGCACCACCCCGTCGTTGG